CTGAACAACTTCTATTATGGTCAAAATATATATTTACTTAGTACAATTTTGACTTTTATATATAACAACTGTTAAAATTTTTTGAAAAATTTGGGGGTAGCTTATTTTCGGATAAGAGAGGATTCCGAGTTTTTGGCTCAAAAGTGAGGGGGTAGCTTATTTTCGGAGTAGCTTATTTTCGGGAATATACAGTATTAGTAATATAAATTTAAAAAATTCAAACAGTCAAATTAATGAAATGCTTTTTATTATAAAATAAGCATATTTCAATTTTCCATTTTGATAATTACAACCAACTTGAAATATTCTGCTAATATCGTTCATCTTATCAAATTTTTGATAATTAATAAGCACCTTATGTTCATCCTTTTCAATTTCTATTCCATCACAATAACAATCTGCAGAGTTATTTATTGCAAAAACATTTCCTATTTCTGCAAATTTTTAATGCTCTTTTCATTTTTTATGGAACTCTAAAAAACAATTTCGAGAGTTATTACAACAGAGTGGTATATTATATATGGCACACTAAAGATTACTTTGGTGTGGAGTCTTACGATCCAAATCCAAGTTTTTCTTACTTGCAAACTATGCACACTATTAGTATGATTCTCGATTTTGCTACTTAACTAAATGGTTATCAGAAGCAAATTATTGGTTTGAAAGCTTGAAGTGTTTTGTCACTTTCGGCCATTTTGTTTCTTTATCTGTTTCTTTTTTTTTTTGACCTACTTCTAAGCTGAATTCCCTCTTCATCACTTACATTATTTATGAGATCCCACACTGGTTCAAGACGAAAGTTCGTATGCTCCTAAGTAGATCCTAGGATTCGGGTAATATGATATGCATTAATAATGGCTATATCCAACAACCAAAAAAAAAGTAGCATCCAGTTTCTTTGTATCACTTGTTGTATACAGTAATACAACCGTAGTTAATCCACAACATCTACACCATTCATGTAATGGTTGTAATTGTCTATTACTCAGAGAATTTTTAGCTTTTTTTTGGTTGAGACCTAAATATCGCATACACTTTTACTACATTGGTGCTTGTTTCTCTCAGCTGCCATCTTTCACGTTCAACTTTCCAATATTCACCAACAAGATCATGAATTGTTGACAGTATTTTGACTGGACCATTTATTCTGCCAAAACACAGACAACTCTCTATTTACTGCAATACTAGAACATATATCCCAGTCAAGTTGAAGTTTTTTATCCATCTTCAGTTCCTTAGAAAACCCGGATGCTGTTGTTTGAACAGTACCACAAGTGCCAATTTCAACTTGCCGAAGATTTTAAAAAAAAGAAACGTTAGAAAAGTAGTTATTCATGTAAATATTAAATAGAAATCGATGATACGGAAGTTGCATAACAAGATGATGGACCATGTGACTAGTTTGGTTGAGCCCTTTTACTTTTTTCACATTACTTGGGAAAACACATGATGTTAGCAAAAAAGTGAATGTATATCTGGATTCACAAAGTGACAACACCTTAAACCCCTCTGGGATTGGTTTGTTCTTAATTCGAATGGTGTAGATGCTTTTGCCAAAAAACCTTATCATTATTTTGTCAACCAAGACGTTTGTGGCTGGTGTGTAAAGTTGTTTAGAAACGTCTCGGATGTGGGAAAGCAGCAGCTCTAGCTTTTCGAAGTAATGATTAATATCTGCCGCAGGAGAAGAAATATGAAGATATCTTTTGATTTGTTCAAACCGCTTCAGCAGTATTTGTTTAAAAATATGGTAAATGGGAGCTTCGGGTCCTCATTCCAGTAATTATTAAATGAAGATAGCCCAAAAACCTCCTGGTAAATAACAAGAGCAACCCAGATAAGGAGCTCCTTATAATTTATATTTTTCTACTGTCTTCTAGCAAGGCCAGCACCTTTGATTAATGTATATGAATTTATATTTAGGACAATTTTGTCTAGTAAAGTTTTTGTAAAAAAAAAAAAAAAAGTTAATTGGCTTTGTAAAACCGACTTCATAATTTGGTGGCAAATTAATAAATGCCTGGTATAGATTTTTTAAATAAACCAATAGTTCAAAATCTAAAGGTAGTGGTGGCAATTTAGGTATGTTTTTTTGTTTGTAGCCCTTCTTATTACTGTTTTCAACTTCGTCATCTTCTTCATCGTCTAACTCTGAATAGTTTGAAAAACGTTGTTGGAATGTCAGAACTGGTATATACTCTTCGTCCTCACTGTCAAAAAATACCTCAGTATTTTCAAGTAGGGGTAAAAGCAAAGATGAACTTACCTTTGGCATAGTTGTAAATTTTTTTTGATTTTTTTTTGATTTTTTTGCTTTTTTTTAATTTATGGCAATCAAAAGATAATTGCTGTACTATGCATGTAATTGCAGATATCATGTACTACTATCACATGATATGAAATTATGAATTGATCTGCAAAATGGTAAACTTTGATTCGAGCTTAGGAAAGGAGGTACTATTGTTTAGAAAAATCAAGTACAATCGCATAAAATCAAAAAAAAAGATTTTAGTAGCCAAATTTGGCCATTGGATAGTTTAAGGAATAATCTATTTATAAAAAAAAATAAGCCAATTTTAATCAGATAGTTTTTAAAAAATTTAATTAGCAATCCGCATAAGAACGATAGTATTATTATATAGTAACTATAGCGCAAATTACTATGTTTTTTATATAGGTTTGAAAGTTTTTTTTCTCCATTCATTAAAAAAATTCTATATAGTTACAAAATCTAAAATATAAATATTTCACGAGTTACTAAACCAATTTTAATAATTTTTTTACACTATATGTAAAATGGGTTCTCTACAATTTTTGCTAGAAATTAAATATACATTAGCTTAATAAAAAAAAATAGTTAGCTATGGAGGAAAAGAAGATTTCATAATTATAATAAATTTAATAGTAATTTGCACATATGCAATACTATCTATCTTAGACGGATTAGCAATTAAATTTTTAAAATTGCTTTTAAAACAATTAGAAATATACTAATATAAAAACTAAATTAATTTATAAATCTTAAAATTCTTTATATAATGGAAGTGTCATTTATCATCTGATTTTTTTTGGAAAGGGTCCCTACCAAAATATCATATACATATATATGTATACTTTCAGAATTTTAATTTATTTATCATGTAGAGAGGGGTAATATTTACTATTTAAAAAAATCAGATGATAAATAACACTTCCCTAATAAAAAAACTTATTTTACAAAAATAATATTATATATATATAGTTAAAATTTATATAAATAAATTTTTATAATTATTTAAATTTTTTTAACTTTTTATACATTTTACTATATACAGAGAGACTTCTTTAAATATATCCTCTTGGGACTATAGTAAAAAATTTCAAAAATATATACTTAGAAAGAGTGTATATTTATAAAGAGCAAAATATATAAGTGCTATTATAAGCTAGAACCAGACTATACTGTGTATTTAAAAAGATTTTACATAGAGAGTGCATTTATAAAGAGTGCATTTAGAGAGGTCTCTCTGTATAGTAATTTATTTACTATTTAGTTAATTAAATTATTAATATAGTAATTTTTTATATATTTTTTTATTTTAAATAAATTTTAATCATTTTTTAAGAGAAAATAGTAGTAAAAAATAAATATAATAAAATTTGTATATAAATTTATAAAATTTATAGAAATATTATATAACAAACAGCACAACTCTCCCCAACGATCACTTGGCACAAAAATAGCAGAAGACTAAAAACACACACTGCACTAAAACTCAGCTACAAACACAACAATAGACCTAATAGAACATAAAATAAACATTAGTTCGCGCTATATTACTTTGGTTGTAGCGTTCTAAACAAGTAGAAGAGATAGCAGTCTCCGTTTAAAAAGATATACAGTGTTAAAACTCGTGCAAACTGAAAACTAGCTCTACGTAAGCAACAAAACTCTCTGGTAGTGAGAAACTAAGCTTTAGAACATATTAGCTCTTTAAATAATAGAGCAAACTAGTCGAATACTTGGGTTTTTTGCCAAATTATTTCGTACTTTCATATAAACGGAAAATAGCGTTATCCCTGTAATGCAGATCCCTAGAGTAACACAAGTACTTAACACAGAGCTACACAGCAGCGCAAAAGCAACTGCACAAAATTACACGTAAAAACACATGAGAAATACGTAAAGTCACGTACATTATATAATAGAGATAAATTCTATAATTTACTATTAAACACCGTAAGCAATGTCCTATAGCTCAAATCAAGAATATACAATGAGTACCGAATAGCTAGGGGACTCAGATATAGATTGGGAATACAAAATAAACAAATATAAAGACATTTTTAGAAAGTTAGCTGAAGATTTCAACTTGCTTAAAGAGGAGCATAAAGAGGAATGCCTTAGAAAAGATAGTAAAATAGCAGCATTTACAGGAGCCGAGCCTCAACTTATATGTTTGTTTAGATGCTTAATTAAAACCTATGACTGGTTAAATTATTTGAGAATCAAAAAAGGCGAGAATTCTTGTTTGTTAGACTTAATAAATTCCAACAAAGCTGAGAAAAGCAATGAGGTACTAATCGAACAAGAATGCAGCATAGCAGACTATAGCATCGAAGAGAAATTAAAGCTGCATCAGTCTGAACTTGAGACTTCGACAAGAAAGAGAAGCACAAGCCCAGTAGAGAAAAAAAGAGATACAAGAAGGCTTGTAAAAAGGAAAAAGAAAATGATGACTTAACTAAAAGTACAGGTGCTCTAGCAGCACAAGACACAAAACTCATGCCTAGCAAAAAAATAAATATAGAAGCCCAGAAAGAACACGAGAAAGTGAATACTAAAGAAACTTCAAGAAGTAGACAAAAAGATACAGAAGATTCAAAAATATAGTATACGCTATGAGATATACCAATAGAAGTCAAGACAATAAGAGTATGAAGATGTCTGTATTTTTATGATTGAATTCAATTCAGACACTGGGAATTGCTAGAATCAAAGAAAGCTGTCTCATTCAATATAATCTTTTGGAATAAGAGGAGAAAAGCTCTATTTACTAAAGCTTGGGCCGTACACTTTGAAGAGGGAAAAATGTTAAAACTCTCTGAAGAGGCATTCGACAGAAGCATTTTAGACGAAAGAGAAAAATACAAAGTGGTACTAAAAAATATCTCCAAGACAGCCTTAGAGACAATACTGCTAAAACAGCTAAAACTAGTAAAAGTGCAAGCAGTATATATCTCACATAACCGCAACAAAAACCAAAGAAGCACAGCTTCAGTGTTCTTCAAGTCTGAGGAGGAACTTCTGGTAGCTCTCACAAAAAGAATATATTACTACAATGCAAAGCTCGATTGGGTTTTACTGGATAATATAAAAGAAGATTTTAAAAATTGTACGATAAGCAATAAAGAAGGTACAACAACTTGTCCAACCAATCAGAAAGAGAGTAATATAGTGGAAAGGAAAGAAAACCCATACATCTCTACCAAGGCCAATGAAAACAAAACAAGCGGCAACTCGGTTTCACCTAGACATCTAGCAGACAAGAAAAACAAAAACAAAGAAAGTATAAAATCTAACTTCAGAAAAGATAAAGAGGGTGCAGACAGGAAGTAACAAACTCATGAAGATTTAGTTCACAGCATGCTGATACAAATCTTGAGCAGACTGGAAAAACTAGAAGACCAAAGTAGCTCATCTAAAACAGCATACACAAGAGTAGCTCTTGCGGATCGCTCCTAAGGGTGCCCCAGGTGCAACAATAAATCCCTCTACAGGAAACAGAGAGGGTGAGAAAGAAGATGAAGGTGAGTTTCCAGATAAAGAAATCGAGCAGGGGGCAGCAAGCAAAGAGGATAGATATGAGCATTTTTGTATGATGAACATTGGGTTTCACAATATTAATAGGATAAAGGACAATAAGAACAAACTGAATGCAATTATAGATTATGCGGAAGAGAAAAAGATAGACATACTGGAGTTAGAAGAAACAAATATTAATAGCAAAGAGGGCTTTTTCACAACAAAGAACAATAATTCATACATTAGTATATGAACAGACTCTGATAAAAATAAGAAGAAAGGGTCCAGACTTGGGTCCTAATCAAGAAAAGATAGAAGCGCCACATTATATTTCAGATCAGAGACAACCCATATTTTTTAAGCCTGGTATTAGATTTTAGAGATATTACAATTAATATCATATATATATACGTAGCTCCAAATGACAAGACAGTGCAAGAAAAAAATATTACAAAGGCTTAAATGTAGTATATACCAACATAAAAGGAAGCTACAACATTACGTAGTACTAGGTGATCTAATATGAATACAGAAGTACTTGCAAATAATGACTCCATAAGCACAAGCACAAAACATAAAACAAATCTCAAGAGGAGAATAATACAAGTGCTAGAGGAGAGGCAGCTCTTCGACGTACAAGAATCTTTACAAATGCCAACGTGGTCAAACAGAAGTACAGAAACTCGAATTAATTATATATGAGTCTTGAACCAGTAGAGATGCAATATAGTTAGCACCAAAGTAGATGATATGTCAATTTGTACCAGGAGTGATCACAAGCTTATACAAGCAAGCATTCTTACTGGCTTAGAGATAAGAAATGCAAAACCTGCAAACTGAAAACGCTTATACAGAAAAAGAGTAAATATTGACATAAGCGAGGCCTCCAAAGAAGAGTGTAAGGACTTTCAAAAAGTGCTCGACAAAAAATTAAAAGACTTATGGTGCAAACACAAACCCAAAAACCTTGAAGAGGAGTGTGATATTATAGAAAGCTGTATGAGAACAGTAGTAAATAAAAGTTTTCCAAAAAGGAAAAAAACTCCTGAGATCCAGCAGATTAGCAAGGAGGACAAAGAAATACGTGCACTGAGACTAACGATTAAGATGTGTACTAAAGATTACTACAAGAGTAAAAAAGGCACGTTAAGCATAGAGGAAAAGAAGATAGTTCTGGAACAAATTAGATTAATTATAAATACAGGTTCACCAGATGAGCCAGACATTGTAAATATAGAAAATCTTAGAAGCTGGGCCAAAGTTATATACAAAGAGTGGAAGCAAAAAATTAAAAAAGCAGAGGAAATAGTGGTAAGAAACTGCATAGAGGAAAGATATGGCCTAATTGTGTCTAATCAGAGGAGAATGCTAAATAGTTTTTTAAACCGTCCAAGCAGGAAAATAAAAATAAACAGGGTAGTTAAAGATATTGAAGGGGAACCTGAACTAATTTATGAGCCAACTGAGATCTTAGAAGAGGTCAGAGATTA